GAGGAGGAGGAGGAGGAGGATGGAAGTGGTGGTTCAGAAGAATTGCCAGGGGGTGGTTGGCGGCAGAGAGGACGAGGAAGAGGCGGGTGGAGGGACGGCTGTTGGTGCGGTCCGAGAGGTACAGTTGATCCGAAGATGTCCAACTAATCCGATTCGAGCGCGGAATGTCCGTTGACTTCGAGGACACGTTGGTAGAGGTTGTGCGTCGGCGTTGCGTACTGGGCGAAGTTGTGATTTTCGAGCATCGCGTTTCACTTTGGCGGCGGCGATGCGGATGGCTTCGTGGATAGCAGCGCCTGTCTTCAGTGTTCTCCTCCAGGTCGGACGCTCGCGGGCGAACTCTTCCCAGTTGGTCGGGTTGATTTGCAGACGGTTCAGGGAGGACTTCAGAGTGTCCTTTTATCAACAAATTTGACCATCTTGGCGGCGAGAACCCGTCGCGACGTCTCTGTAGAAGAGTCGTTTGGGTAGTTTTCCGTCGTCCATGCGCACCAGGTGGCCGCTCAAGCGCAGCTGCATTTGTCTCAGCATGGTGTAGATGCTGAGGATTCCCGTCCGTTCCAGCACATCAGTGTCGGGGATTCGATCCTGCCAGTTCAGCCTCAGGATTCGTCAAAGACAACTGAGTCGGAAGTGGTTCAGGCGGCGTGCCTGCTTTGTGTACACTGTCCAAGTCTCCGCTCCGTACGGCAGCGTCGACAGGATGACGGCTTTGTACATCTTCAGCTTCGTGCTTAGTTGAAGACCATGACGATTCCAAACTGTGCTTCGGAGGCGACCGAAGGCTTGACTGGCTTTCGAGATCCTGTTGGCGACTTCGTCATTGATCTTGGTGTTGCGGGAAAGAGTACTGCCCAGGTACGGGACGTTCTCCACCACTTGCAGTTTGGTCACATTCACGCTGATTTTGCGGCGCGATGGGGAGAGTGGCGGTGTTGGGTGGCGGTTGATGCATCACTACCGTCTTCTGCGTGTTGATGACCAGACCGTAGTTCTCGCAGGCGGCGGAGAATAGGTCCATGCTGCGTTGCATATCCCATTCCGAGGTAGTGTTCAGGGCGCAGTCGTCGGCAAAGAGGAGTTCGTGAACGGTGGTTGTGGATACGCGCGATTGGATGTGCATCCGCCGTTGATTCAGAAGGTGACCGTCCGTCCTGTAGGCGATGCGGAGCCCGGGGCGTTCGTCGCAGTAGGCGTCCATCAGCATGGCAGAGAACATAAGACTGAAGAGGGTAGGCACCAGCACGCATCCCTGCTTCACTCCGTTGATCACTGCGAATGCCTCTGAGACAGCTCCGTTGTCCGTGACTCGCGCCATCATACCGTCGTGCAGCTGACGCACCATCTGAATGAATCGCTCCGGACAGCGGAATTTCTGCATGATCTTCCACAGTCCTTCACGATTCGCCCTGTCGAGGGCTTTGGTCAGGTTTACGGAGGTAGTGTACAGGTGGGTCCGCATCTCCTGGCACTTCTCCTGAAGTTGACGGCTGGCGAAGATCATATCGGTTGTTGCGCGATCTACAGCATGGACATGCCACGGTGATTGTCGCAGACTTGACGGTCCCCTTTTCGTTTGTAGAGATGCACGATGGTTGCTTCTTTGACATCTTGCGAGACGTCACCTTGACGCCACACCTCCTGGAAGAACGCATTCAGGTGGTCCATCAGTCGGGAACCGCCGTGCTTGTAGACCTCAGTAGGGACCGCGTCCGATCCAGGCGATTTCCCGCCAAAGAGCTGCTGCACGGCCCTGATGGTTTCCTGAAGAAATGGCGGGCGGTTGAGGTCCACGTTGGTCTCCACTTTCGCAAACCGTCGATGACGGCGTCGGAGCTGGCGGAGGGGCGGTTGAGGACGCCTCGGAAATGCTCGGCCCATCGCTGTAGAATTTGCATCTTTTCAGTCAGGAGAGTGCTACCGTCGGCGCCGAGGAGAGGAGCAGTGCCCTTCGTCGGCGGACCGTAGACAGCTTTGATCGCGGAGAAGAAGTGCTTGCATTCGTTGCGGTCCGCGTACCCTTGGATCTCCTCAGCTTTGCAAGCAGTCCAGGCGTCCTGCATCTCGCGCAGTCGTTGCTGAAGGTGGCGGCGACGGCGGTAGAAAGCAGCTCTGTTTTTGTCAGTGGGGTAGTGTACGTAGGCTTTGTGTAGGCGGTTCTTCTCGCCGAGCAGACTGCTGATGGCGGCGTCGTTGTCGTCGAACCAGTCCTGGTGTTGGAGGCGGCGTGCTCGACCAAGGACGGCTAGCGCAGTCGACTGGAACGTGTCCCGCAGTTGACACTATCGGTTCTCCACAGAGGCGTTCTCGTCAGCGGCGGCGGTAGCGCCAGCGATTGGAAGGTTGTCTAGTCGTTGAATTTGCTCATTACTGAAGTGGAGATGGTGAGCAGGCAACGACAACAAAGCAGTATTCAGCTTACCTGGGGATCGCCTACCTTGAGGTCTCCTGCGAGGCTGTAGGCGAATACGCATCTTCGAGATGACGAGGCGATGGTCGGTCCACCCGTCAGCACCCGCGATCGCCTTCCTCACCAGCACGTCTCGCTGGTCTCGCCTCCGGACGAGGACATAGTCCATCAGGTGCCACTGGCGCGACCGAGGATACCTCCAGGTGGCCTTCTCTCTCTCCGGCAGACAGAAGAAGGTGTTCGTCAGAATGAGGCGGTGTTCGGCGACGACGACGACGACGAATACCTTCCTACGCAACCCTTCCACTGTTGGTAACACTCCCAACAACCCGTCAGCCACCAACCTCATCACCTCCACCCCTACCATCAGTAATATGTACTCGATTCCAACCTGTCCCCGTTGCGGTCGTCCCTTCACATCGCGATTCGGCCTGAACGGTCGCTTGCGAATCCGTCGCACAGGCTGACGAATCAGGACCACGAGCCCTGACATACAACGGATATGATCTTCGCCGCCCGTCAACTCCAAAAGAAGTGCCAGGAGATGCGGACCCACCTGTACTCTACCTTCGTGGTCCTGACGAAAGCCTTCGACACGGCTTGGGCCTGTACGGTCACCTGAACGTTCACGAAAATCTGCGGTAGGCAACTGCCGCGTATGCCAAACCATCATATCTTCCTACACCAACACCACCCCATCACACATCAACACTCACCCACCGCAAGCACCCAATTGCCACCCTCCACGTATGTCGGAAGTGCGCATTTCGACTCGGTCCCCATGCGGCTTCGGCTGCACGGGTAACCTGAGTCTGAGACTATCCCGAAACGTCAAGTGTCGTGGATAGGAAGGTTGCTGATTGACGCTCCATTCGGTTCACGCAGTTCGTCGCGTTGTGTGTGTGTGTGTGTGTGTGTGTGTGTGTGTTGTGTGGAGTGGCGGACTGGTGGGCTGGGGACGGGCTGAAACATCACCTTCCACGGCCCTCTCACGCAAGTGAGAGACACGCCGTTCAACCCCCGTTGTGTGAAATCCTGGTGTTTTTGTGTATGGGGGGCCAGGTCGTGCTGTGGCGCGCGCAGCCATGGTCAGTCGACCGTGCCAGCCACCGCGCCCATTTACTACTCCAGTCTGTTGACCGGCTCAGACAGCGGCTGGTGTGGGAATGGGAAGGGAGAGTGAGGTCGACGACTCAGCGCACTTTCTCCTCACTATAAACAATCTGACGCGTTTAAGCTATCACGGTGCGCTAAAAGCCGTGGCTTGGAAGGTTGCCAACTGACGGGGTAACTTGGACCTCCTCCTTGACCGGTGGTGGTTTGAGAGTCAGGCTGCAATGGCTCCTTTTTAATGTGGCCTTTATGGCACTCCCATCACAGTGTGGGATCCGAGCCAGGCGTTGGCGGCGCGCCTAGGTGCGGCTGCTTCGGCCGTGCCAGCCTCCAATCTCTGTTGTGTTGGTAAAAAATTCTGGTTATTTGTTCTGTGGACCAGGGGGTGTGTTGGAACGTCAAGTTGCGTGTTCGACCGCGCCATCCACCTGCACGTTCCGCCCGCCTCTGCTCTTCTTGATTCTGTCTTGACACCGGGTCTACGTAGACAGTTGGCGAGAGAGTGTAGGCTGATGCAGCGCAAGCCTACATTCAGTATAAACTAAATCACGCGCAGGTCGCCGTGCGTGCTTCGCCTTGCTGTGGAGGACACGGTGGGCATCGTCGGATGCGACGTACTAACTGTCATAGGGAACTCTTTTTGAGTGAATGTCCAGTCCAAGTTTCTTTGCCCGACCCCTAACGGGAATTTGCTGTAGTACTGGTAGATACTTGTTGTCAAGCGCCTCGGTGTCCCGTCCCACTGAATTGAAGTAGGTGCGGCAGCGGTTCTGGAGGATGTGTGGTTGGCAGCCATCATGACCGGTCTGGCGTCACTGTTCAAGACTACACTGTCTCAAGGTCATTCACCCTTTTGCACTGAGCCGTTCTAGACGCGCTGATCTGAAGTCACAAGACCGACAGCTCGGGCATACCAGCGTCCGCCAAGCCGCAGTTTCCTATGCGGCCAATTGAACGCACCCCGCCCCCTGAAACCAGCAAAACAAGCCACTGGGACTCCACCCCTCGGCAAATGCAACGCACACTGACTGGAGACCACTTGAACTTGGCCCACGAGCCTACAAATCGGCTGCCACCACTGCCTCAGGGACTCTCAGGCATGACTGTACGCAGTCAAAACCAGCCCTGGCTTCGCCGGTGGCCACTGCCGCCTGAGAGGACAACGCCGGGTTCTGTGCACAATACACTCCTCATTCAGGTTCCTTCTGTCTTCTCCCTACAATTTGGGATTTGTCCTGATTATTGTAGTACTCAGAATGCAATTATTCTGGCCGCCCGATCACAACAGATGTTTGGAATAGGCATCGCAGCTATACTGAATCGGTCGTTGTAGCATTTGTCACATCCTCCAATATTGACGGACTTCACAAGGGTAACAAAAACATAGCTTCGGTCTTGAGACAGACTGGGTTCGCCGCAACTTTCAATAGCATTTTAAAATCACTCGACAACAGCACTAGGACATCTGCTGACTTTTTGTGGTAGGCTGTATTCAACTAAGTTTTGTGGATTCGGAAATATTATGATGGTTCTAGAGTCGTGACAGTGAATAGTATCATGCAACTGTGACAGTGGAATTAACGGTGATAATGGCAGTCGTATGAAATTCGTTGGGGAAGGTAGAGCAAATTAATTTGTTCAGCAAAACGCTCTTTCTAGATCACCAGATGACCGTCGAGCGGAGCGACTGGGACACCTGCTTTCAATCTGATCTTCAAACTAATCGGCCACTAGACCTAAAAACAAGTACGTAAGAGGGAGCGGAGCCTTTTTGTGACACAGACAGCGTGGATCACGTCAAGCTTTGAGAGCGTATTCCGCCAGCATCCCTGCTGTTTTATCCTGGCTATGCACATTATCTGTCCAAGTAAAGCCTCGAAACAGGGAACTTGTGTCGAGTCAAGTGAGCCAAGACTCATCCGCCGTTCCCGTAGTTCTGGTCTATATTCAACCCTTACATTTCCACCTGCCAAGTCCTAGGTAGCTCAGACGGATCATAGTGACTACGTTTCTGCTAAAAGTGAATTAGTTATGCCTTGCTGACATACTGATTGGTTTGAGGGATAGACGGTAGGGCTCACGGCACTGCGTAATCTAAGCTGTTTTTCGCCATTCACGCCTGTTAGGACGGAATGAGTCACGAACCGACTATTTCTGGGCACTTTTACAAGAATGGGCGGCACTTCATTCCAATACTGCATCAGCCGCTGTCTCTTTAAACATTGGCATCTGGTAGTCGCAACCAATGCCTCTTATCAACACCCCGACAAGCCGGTCACGATTGTCTTGTCGAAAATCAATGTCTGATTTTACGAGGGGGAGCTGTGTCGCCGAATCGCCGATTTTTTTTGGCCGTTTGCAAATACTCTAGCAGAATCTCAACATTTCTACACAAGGACACTCTAAGAACCTTCTTTGTTCTCCGAAACATACGTTTAATGTGAGATCGCAGACAACACATTTTAACTGTGATGGCAATTTTGAGTTGAGCAAACGCGCACGATGCAAAGATGTGGTCACGTCAACACCGTATCTGTCCTACAGTATAGCACGGGCGAAAAACCGTGTCTGCCGAAATCTCTATGGTCACAGTTGTAGAAAGTTGTAAATTCCATTTAATGAAGTCTTGAGTGCTCTTATTTTAGTCTGATAACGGATAATTTCAATGACAGAGCGCTACTTTGCACACAGCACTGTATGCCTGCTTCTCCGATTGCGTAATTTACAACGGGCAGCACTAACCGCCTCTCGTTACTGATTGACATCCGGCGTGGTCACCACAAGCAAAGTAGCAGTAATTTACACCATCGTTTTTCAGACCCACACCAAATAGCATTTGGTTTCCTTTCGTTTTCGGAGAGGTAATTTGCGGGAAGGTAATGGCGGAGAACAGTCGTCATGTCATTATACCACTTTGAATTTTGACACTTTCGCTGCTCGCGATCTATCAGATCGGCCAACCGGAAGTTGGCTGACAGAAGAGACGGCATATTTAAGGCTGCCAGCCGCAGGTTTCTTCTGAACTACGAGCAAGATCTTCCATTGGCAATCCCCCGAGGAAGTCCGCATTACAAACGCAGGCACTATAGATGGCACATTGGTTTCACTTAGGAGTGATGGTTACGATAAGAACGGTGGAAAATGTCCATGACTGAGACAGCTATATTTGGTTCATTCGATGTCATCAACCAGTTATAAGGAAACTTCAGGCATGGATGTTTAGACGCGAGTCGGTTGGCCGTCCAGCAATTGAGTGGAGCATTATACCAGTTGAACCACGGGTCCCAGTTGGTTGCCAGCAGGAATGATTAGTCACGTGGAGGCAGCATTTGCTGATCCATCTTGATCCGATTAGCTAGCATGCAGTCCGCAATCTTTTTTCGACCCCTGTGAAACCGCCGGTACCATAATCTCTGGTAGTACCGAGTCTTGTGACGCTGGGGGCTTATTGTTTCTAACCAGCCGTTCAGTGGATCACTCAATGATGGGATGCAAATGCCCTTGTCATTGATTATCCCAGACATGATCAGGACCTAGGCCGTTTCATGGTGGGATCTGGATAATGCAATTTTAGGGCGCTACAGGCTTCGGTAAGTGAATTTGCATTAGTTCGGTGCTCCACCCAAGCAAAAGCAATCGAAGGTAGTCTGTTTCTGCCCGTGCCTACAAAACACCATCTGACCTTGCAGACGTAGGGAATTCTCCTAGGAATATTCATTAGGTAGTCCGATGGAACCTCACAGGTGAGTCGATGGCGAAGGGTCCTACAGGAGTGATCGGGTCCTTATTTGAAGTTTGGTTTGCGTCTTACGATGCATCGCACCCGACATATCGGTGACTCCAAACCTCACCGTCTGCGAGACCACCCAGTTTACGTTGGCGGCCTGCCAGGCGATAGACGCAAGCGAACAACAGAGCCGCCCTCTTCGAGGCACGGAGCTATCCACCGTTGCCTCGTGGTCCAATTCAGAGGGTGGAACTGGGAGGAGAGGTGGGGCGGAGACGCTGTGACGCGTGAATGCGGTCCTAGAGTATCGCAACCATGCCTAACGAGAGTCGAGGCCGAGGCAGCACCCCACGGCCTGACAGTTTGGTTGTTCAATGACCAGTTTGACTCATGGACCGGAATGCCAAAATCCCGCTAATAGGCGAGTCACCCGCCCTCCCCTACAACATTGTACAACTTTCAACAGGGAGTGAGAAACCAGCGTGACAACGGATAAAAAGGACTTTAGAAATAAAAAGATGAACGCGCGATCACTGGGGCAGTACACATACTAGTATGAGCTTTCGGCCTCATACAGGAGGCCAGCGTCAGAGACTGTGAGAATGTGGCGTCAGATGAGCAGTTTGTGTATTCAAACATAGAAGGGGGTAGGAGCGCAGGAGTGCAGGGGGTAATGTTCGCAACAAGGCTGAGTCCACGCCGTCTCACGACGGCCTGACTGCGTGCACCCTTGGCTGGCATTTGGGTCTCGCCTTATGGCCGCGGGAACGGAGGCAAGGCTAGCAGGGGGTGGGGAGGGGGGCTATATAAACGTGTCTGTTGATGGAGTTGGTGTCAGACACCCAGGCCTCCAGCAGTTCTTACTCTGTCTTATTGCTGGCTCACGACATTATCCGCGTGCTCGCGAAGTTGAATTCGTGGCCTTTCTCCAGGGTGCGAGTGGCGACCTGAGACAATGGGTCGATTCTTCGGACTGCCCGTTTGTGTTCCGTTATTCGCGAGCTAAGCCGTCGTCCTATCTGTCCTGTGTTGTGTCGAGGACAGTTGCGGCATGGAAGCTGTTAGACGACACCCAATTGTTCTTCTGCGTCTAGTCGATCCTTCATTTGCATGATTTTGTAGCGCATGGTCGCTGTCGGACGGTGAGCGATACCCACGCCGAGGTCCCCAGCAATACGTTCCGTTGCTTTGGACGCATATTTTATATATGGTAGCGAGTGTCAGTGTGTGGGCTGCTCTCCTCCGTTTGTGCGCTATGAGTGCGTGCGGAGGCAGCGGCTGACGAAGCCGTTTGGGTATACATTCTTTGCCAGTTGGTCCCCAAGATGCCGTAGTTCCCGTACTCCTCCCTCCGGTTCACTGCAATGCATTTTTATCCTTTGGAAGGGTGCCCTAACACAGCTGTGTTTATGCGCCACAGGGTGGTTACTATGGTAGGGTGGGACAGTTGGCCGGTGGGATGGTTGTACGGAGCATAGCAGCATGACCACAATCGGACAAAAACTGGCTAACGTAGGAGCCTGAGTCTCAGAGTTGTAGTGACGTCCGAATTTTCTACTTCTGTGCAACTGACGGCCTGTACGTCGCCGTGTCTTTCTTGTTTGAACAAAAAAGTCAGGGACACGGGATATGCGCGTAAGGTTGATCGCAGGCTGTCCAGTGAGTCCACGGGTAACGAACTGTCAAAGAGCCTTCAGGAACTAGCTGTGGATTTGGGAGGTCATTAGGCCTGGAAAATAAGCAGCCCCGAGCCAGAAGACAGTCATACTGTAGGGCGTGGTGAGGTACAAATCTGTGAATTCGATTCTTTACAAAAAGAATCATTGGCCACAGTGGTATTTCGACAAGTGAAATTCGGCTGCTGTAAGATAGAGCCCCATCGAAAAGTCTCTTAAAAGCACCAGTATTATATTAACGGGACTGAACTAGATGTAGGAAAGCAAGATCTGCGTATGTGGACAACCACAGGCTTGATGCCATCATAAAACTGTAAAAAGATGCTCCAGAAAGCAAATAATCGGTTGCACTAGATTAGACGTGAGACTAAATTACTGCCTTAAGTCTTCAGAAGGTTTTTCGGCGTCTTCGTGGGACACCACCTAGTGTGGAATGACAGCAACTACACGATGGATAGAGAAGGATACCGACCTCCTCGAACAGGTGCGACGCAGTACAACTAAGATGATCAGTGGTCCCATATGTCAATCGTATCCGGATAGGCTGAATGTGCTTGGATTATTCCCTCTATCTCATGGACAATTAATCTGCATCCTGCTCTGGACGTTCCGGACTGTCCATGTACATGGCTGCCTGCCGAGATCGGAGGGCTTCTCTAAGTTTCCCTGTACAAATCA